ATTAATTAATTACCATATGTGATATCCTCGTTTGTTGGGTGCTGTCTCAGCTTTGGTATGAAGTGGCCTTGCTAAGAGTCGGATTAAGAACCTCTAATATGTCTTTCTATGATATTCCAACTTCTCAATTTTCTTTTTCTTTTTTCTTTGAATCATTAGCTTTTATATAAAATTAGAGGCATTTTGATTTCTTATATTCCTAAAATGGTGAGGTTTTGTGTGTTTTTAATGATTTTTTTTAAAATATATCATAATTACACCTTTTTATCTTTAAAAATTGGAAAAAAAATATAAAAATTCACCATTTCTAAAATTTAATATATCAACAATATATCTTATTTTATATAGAAACCAACAATTCAAAAAAAAAAAAAGAAATTGGGGAATTGAGACATTATGAGGAATATTAAAAAATATATATATTAGAAGCTCCTACTCTGAATCGGCCGGAATCTTACTTTTCCCATGACACAAACAAATTGCTGCTATCTATTGAGAAAACTACCTAAGGGACTCCATTGATGATTGATTAGTGCCACATGCTCATCCTTGATTATCTTCTCAGAAATTAGAATCAAAATGAAAATAGGCCGTGAAACTTAGTCCAAAAGGGAAGCACTGCACTTTTCTTCGCCTTGTTTTAAGGGATATGACTTTTGACAAATAAGTTCACATTAGAACATACATAAAATATATAATGAAATATACAGTCACACTTTTATGGTTTTTCCATTACAAGATAACTTGATCAAATCATAACAATATTATAAACAATTTTTTTTAAATGTCAACCAAATTGAGATAATAATTCGATTCCAATCAGAATATTTGTACTAAATATATATATACTAGCAAACAAAATAATTGTCATAAATCAAATAAATTTTATATATACAAGTATTTGGTTTTCAACAAATACTAAATTATCATGTTTTTTTTTAAATTTTAATAACTAACATAATAATTTATGAAGATATAAAGAATTAAATTGATAAAAATTAAATTTGAAGGATTAAATCATAACTAAGACAAATTTAAAAGTTTAAAAGTTTCATTATCCTTTTAATCTTGGAGCCCTTATACCTATTTTATCAATCATTTTTTATTATTGTTCCACGTTTACTTTTTCCCCCCCACTCTGAGCCTATATTTTTCATCATCATCCAATTATACAAAAAATTAAAAATAAAGAAACAGAAGAAGTGTTGTGGCCATGGTTACTGTAGTTACAGCAACCATGGACCCCATTTACAAGATACAAATATTAGAATGAAAATGATAATTGACCGTGAAACTTGTGACAAAAGTGAAAGACTGTACTTTTAAATTCTTTGCCTTGTCTTGAGGGTACATGACGTTGACTAATAATTTTACAATAAAACGACCGTAAAACATGCATACGAGTATATTAAAATATACAGTCACATTTTGAAGTTTTTTATATTACGAGATAATTTAATAAATCATAAAATATTATAAACAAAACATTTTTAAATGTCAACTAATTTGAGATAATAATTATTTGATTTTAATCAGAATATTGTAATTTTGTGCTGAATATTGAGATAATAAAAAAAATTATATCACACGAAAAAAACTTGCATCAAACTTGTTTGTTTAATCAGAACTAAACGTGGGCGATATTTCGCAGTTCTTTGCTAAGAAGTTTTTAACTGAAACTTTAAACGTAAGAAAGGATAAAATAAGCAGCCTAGCTAATTATGCGAAGCTGAATTTTAAGAAACTAATATTCTCAATTTTGAAAGAAAATATTGCACATGTTAGAATATGTATTTTATTTCAATTGTAGAAAAATAACATAATCTTAGCCATAATTGATTATTCATCCAGGAATTGCTAGGAATCATGCTGAGTTGCTTTCAATTGTTCGCCATTTTTCTAAATGCTTTTAGAAATTAGATTGAAAAGTGAAAATGATAGAAATTAGATTAAATTGCTTTTGGCCTTGTTTTAAGGGACATTCTCACCTGGTCTATATGAAATAAAATATTACATATGTTCGAATGAGCACAGGAGTGGTTCATTTTTTATATAAATAATAACATACTCTAAGTAGTAATCTCTATATAATATATATTGAATAGTTGAGTGCATTTTTTTAAAAAAAATAAAGTAAACATGTTATATATTCGAGGAAGAAACAAAATTAAAGTCGGTGGAACGTTAGGGAGTTAAGAATTTTTTTTTTTTTTGGAATTTATATGATTATATCAATTTTGATTTGGGATTTAAAGCATACCCAAAATTAAAATTATTGTGAGGAATACGCAGTGAGTTGCTATATCAATCCTTTCATTTTCCTTTGGCAGAATTTTCTTCCATGAAGAGTTCCAAGTCGCCTCTACGTTAATTTGAATTTAGTATGAAAACGACACTTACGGTGAAATTTAAATGATACATTATCCTTTCCTTTGTCTTTTTTTATTTTTTTGATAAGGTTTTCTTTCCCATTTTTCTGACAGCTTTTTGAGGTTGGAATAAAAACGATACTACTTTCAATTTTAAATTATAATATATTTTCAAAAAAAATTTGATATCTCAAAATATAAGATATTTTAATTAAAAAAATTATTAATAATACTTTTTTAATATTATCCTTTTCATTATATTTTTTTTAAAAAAATTCTTTCATAAGTGGAGTATTAAATTGAGAATATTTTTAAAATTTTACATTTTTATTTTAAAAAACATAAAGTGTAAAATGTATTTAATAAATTTTATTGGTATGTGTAATTTTTTTTAAAAGTATGTTATAATTTTGAGTTATCCCCACGATAATTTGAAATTTTGAATTTAGTGTGAAAACGATACTTACGGTGAAATTTAAATGATAGATTATTCTTTCCTTTGCCAATTTTTTTTGGATAAGGTTTTCTTTTCCATTTTTCTCACAGCCTTCAGACGTTGGACATAAAAATAGCACTTGTTTTGAGGGACACGAGTCTTGACTTCGACTAATAAATTTCATAATAGAACAAGAATAAAACATATAACTAAACATTTTCAAGTTTATAATTTTACAAAATAATTTGATAAATAACGAAATATTATGAACAAAATAATTTTTCAATAACGCGTGTAAACCAATTTGAGATGGCCATTTAATTGCAATCATAATACTAGCTGGTACAAGACCATAATATCTATCACAAGTCAAATAAAATTTTCAAATATATTTATTTATTTTTTTAATAAATAAAAATATTATTAAAAATAACTTACTATTATGGTTGATATTCCACTCATGGCGTGATTTACCACACGTTTATATCGAAATAGTTCTACTTATATTTCAATTTTTATTACGAAATAATTATAGTATAGCAATAATAAAACCGTAAGAAACTAATGGTATCGTTCATGTATTGTTACCTGTTTTTGTTATATATCTCAAGAAAAATATTATTGGAAATAATAAATACTCAAATCACCATATTTTCATTTCATTATAACTGGTCGTTAATTAGAAAAACTTCACTGCTAATAATATTTTTCTGTGATAATAAGTTTTTAAATAACTAGCGTCACCAACGATTCATGCATAAAGAGAAGCTGGCTCAGTAAAGCGTGTAAAATAACATACTCTAAGTCTACGGTGTAATCTCTATAAATAGATTCATCACAAGTCCCTACACTTGCACCACCATTTGATAGATTCACTTGGCAAACGAAAAGAACAATGAGGATATTCATTGGTTTTCTCAAAGTCATACTGGTAGCAATGCTAGTGCTTGAGTATAGGGTCCTTGCTCCTAATTCGTGGAGAGCAACAAGCACAGGGGTTCAATGCATAGAGATAGAGAGGCAAGCCTTGCTTCATTTCAAGGATGGCCTTAAGAGTAGCCAAGGCATTTACGCATGGTCTTCATGGGGTAGTCAAAAGCACAAGAAAGATTGCTATCAATGGGAAGGAGTTTACTGTAGCAACCAAACTAGCCATGTATTGATGCTCCACCTTGCTGGTGATGATGATTCAGGCCAACCGTTTTTGAAAGGTAACATCAGTGCATCGTTGATGGAGTTGCAATACTTGATGTATTTCAACCTTAGTTTCAATTACTTTGAAGATAGCTATATCCATGAATTCTTTACCTCTCTAAGCAACCTAAAGTACCTTGATCTTCGAGGATGTCGTTTAAGGTGGGGAAATATTCTAAGTCAACTAGAGAATCTCTCACAATTGCAGTACCTTGATCTTGGGGGAAATTATTTTTCTAAAGGAGAAATACCTTCTCAACTTGAGAATCTCTCACGATTGCAACATCTTGATCTCTCATCTAATGGACTTGAAGGAGCCATACCTTATCAACTTGGAAGTCTCTCATGATTGCAGTACCTTGATCTCTCATCCAATCAACTTGTAGGAGTAATACCTAATCAACTTGGGAATCTTTCACAATTGCAACATCTTGATCTCTCATCCAATCAACTTGTAGGAGTAATACCTAATCAACTTGGAAATCTTTCACAATTGTAACATCTTGATCTCTCATATAACAATCTTAGAGGAGTAATACCTTTTTAACTTGGAAACTGTAATGACTCTAAATTTTAAATTAAATAAATTTCCTTCCAATTGATAATTAATTAATTTTCCTATTATGATAAAGAAAAAGCAATGGTATATTAAAATTTATACTGGATATTTATATAAAGGTCTAGAGTACAAATTTTATTGTAGCCAAATGCTAGTTTATTTTTATGAAAAAGTACTAAAAAGTCCTTATTTTTTTTTATAAAAAATGTTATAATAACAAAAGTTGATAGGGCCTTCTTTTGAAATTTTTCCAATAAATTTCGGATCTTATTTTATAAATTTCCCCATGAGATATTATTTGACTTCCTTTGACCTTCTAAGTCGGTGAAGCAGGCAGAAGAGAGAGGGAGAGCTCACGATTTTTTTTCTATTTTCCTCGTCTCTTCCGGATGATGTTCGAAGATGAGAGAAGTCTAGAAAACTCTCCCCATTTCTTTGGTCTTCTCCTTCTCCCCTGCCATCTCCAACTACTTGAGGTGTGAGAGAGAGAGAGTGTGTGAGTGAGTTCTGGCCAGGCTTCGAGTTTTGTCTCTCCTCCTTCTCTTTCTTCAATCACGTTCTGAGTTGCAGAGAGGGTTGAGATCAAAACTCTGGACTTTTTCGTCACGTGTTATCTGACTCCATCTCTCTCTGTTATCCTACCCTTACCACCGGCGAAATGGGAGCTCGTTACTCCCGAACGAAGCCAGGTCCTCAGTTGTGCTTCCTGTCTCTGTTTTTCTCGTCTGCTGCTGTCTTCGTTCACGTCACGGATGGGCGAGAGAAATCAATCCGTTGGTAATGCTGGTGCTGATCGTGAGATTTTCCTGCTTGATCTGGTACGGTTGAAGTCATTTCTTTCCTTCCCCGTGTACTGTGCCAGATGACTCCCCTGTTTTGAGTCACAGCTGGTTCAGTTTTGTAAGGTGTTCAGCTTGTGTGTTTATTATTTTCGCTGTTGGAAATCTCTGTTTCTTTGCATCTAGTAGGAGCTTGACAAAGTCGCAGATCCTTTTTATTTCCCATAAAGCATCACTGTTGGACGTTTGCTTCCCCTGTTCAGCGTCCAAGTTTCCTCTTCTTCTCTTTTGTGATGATGGTGATTTAAGGTAAGAAGCTTTGACCATTAACTCTCTCGTGTTGTGCGTATATGGCTGGATCAGAATTGTGAATTGTTCCCCATTTTTCTGCTGTGCATGAGTAATGAGATGTTGGGGATTTGATTTCTTTGAGTAATAAATTTGATTTTTGTTGGACTAAAAATTAAAAGGCAAGCTGAGTTATCTCAAATATGAATGTGATATTATTTGGGAAATAAAATTTATTAAAAAGGAAGGGGGATTTTGGTTGGAGGATTCACGCATGGCAGATGTTTGATGAAATGTCCATTGGTAGAGATTGTTTGTTTTGGTATCTAATAGTGATAGTTTCTTAAGGAAGATGATTTGGCCTAGATATTAGTATTTGTATATCTCAATTAGGCTTTAACAAGGGATGTATTTAAGAAGCTGTCAAAATTTTATTTGAAGTTTTAAATTATTAAGAGTTAAATGGTTGATGATTTATAAGGTATATTATCATTTTATTAATTCTAGTTGAGTGGACTCTCTTAAAAATAGGACTTGTTAATTCAAAAGCAAGGTTCATGAAGATTTTATTATATATTATAGGGTAATCGTGAGCAGGGTAACTTGATTGGAGCTGAAAGAAAAGAGTTTTGAGGTTGAAACTGTTACAGGTAAGTGGATAGCGTCCCAACTGATATTCCAATAAAATTTTTACTGAAATACTACATTTTTATACAAATACTTTTTACAGCAACAATGTGATTATTGGATATTTTGTTGATTAAAGTATTTTATTTTTGTGAAGTTATCCTCACCAGATTTGATAATTTTATTTTATCACTAAATACAAGTTTGGATTTTAATTATGGAATTTTCATTCTGAAATTTATTGAATTGATACGGACAATGATTCTTGCGAGTTCAACTTCGAAAATTTTTGATTATTTGATAAATGCAAGCATAAGCATTTGATATGAAATGTTATTCTGGCAAGTTTTAATGCTTACGAGTATTCATGCGAGTTTGATTTTGAGAATGAGAACTGTATCTTGGAAGTGATGATTTTCTCGCATGTTTGAAAATGGTTTTAAAAAGGGACTTTATATAGAACACTGGTTGTTAACGGCAGTTCCGTTAGCCCTTGGCGCGCCATGGTACACCTAGCTAGCAGGGTGTTTATAGGAGGTGCTAGCCCCGTGCGATGGCCAACGCACGTGGAACGGAGGGATGGTTATTCGTGGGCTTTGTACCCGCGTTTGATTTCGTGGCTTCAAGCCGCGTTTGGTTAGTATGACCTTCGTGGACTCTGTGTCCACGTTTGTTCCGTGGCTTCGGCTGCGTTTGGTTACATATCCTCGTGGACTGTGTGTCCACGTTTGTTTTCGTGGCATAAGCCGCGTTTGGTTAGTTACCTTCGTGGACTGTGTGTCCACGTTTGTAAATTGTTCTGATAAGTCCCTATAATTATGAATCCAATTATTTGAGGATTTTATATTCCATTGATGTTATTCAGTAATTTGTTTATAAATATTTATTTCATTTACGTGTTTTCTTGAAATCAAGTCCTATTGACATTTGCCATGATAGTTTAATGATCTGAGACTAAATTTTAAAATTTTATAGAGATATTCTATTTTAAAGTTTATTACATTTTTATAAAAACTGTTGTCTCTTTGACTCATACAATTATTTTAAATTTTTTTTCTTTTTATTCAAGCTCTATTATTTATTGTTGGGACGTTATTCACTGAAAATTATTATTTTGGTCTCAGATATGTCAGCCGAGGTTATGTCTTCCGTAAATCCTAAAAGGGCTGTAATATTCAGTTGAGAGGAAAAGCTGAAATCAAACTTCTTTAAAGTAAATTTCTTATGTCAGGTGCTCCACATAAGCTATAGTTAGGGTCCTCATCCTTATGATTCACACTTTGTTATTTGCTGATTGGAAAAGAGTTCCTTGCTGCTACTTTTGTTTTGTAAAATATTTGTAAATTTGTTTTTGAGAGATTTATTTTAAGAAGAGATTCAGTCAAATTTTTGTTCTTAATATTAAACCTTTTGTTAGTATGATTTGTATTGAGGATGGCTTAATTTATTATCAAATATTTTTGTGTCTTATACATTAGGGTTTTATGCACAAAGACTATTGGGATATGGGTATTATCCTTATATTTTGTGCCGAATATGTCCGATTTTTGGGGCGTGACAGAAACCTTTCCAACTTGCAAAAGCTTTTCCTTAGTGGTGCACTCAAACTTGACCGAAAGAATGGGGGTGGAGGTGAGTGGTTCTCTAGTCTCATAACTTTGAGTCATCTTATGTTGGAAAACATAACCAATCTCAAATATTCTTACAATTGGCTAAAAATGATTGGAGAGCTACCGAGTTTGAAAGAATTGATGCTAAGTGAAAATGATTTTTCAGATCACTACATCCTTTCATTATCTTCTTTAAAATTTAATTCCTCTTCTCTTCATTTAATTGATCTATCTTCCAATAATTTCATGTCATCTGCAATATTCCATTGGATCTCAAATGTTAGCTCCAACCTTGTTGAGCTAGATCTTGGATCCAACATCTTGGAGGGTCCGATACCACATGAATTTGGTAGCGTCATGGATTCTCTTGTGAATCTAGATCTTAGTTTTAATCATATAAAGGGTGGGCTTAAATCCTTAGGGAATATATGTACCTTATGTTCATTACACCTAGACTTTAACTATTTGAGTGAAGACCTTTCGACAATCCTTCAAGCTCTTTCTGGATGTGCTAGATATTCTTTGCAAGACTTGAACCTAAATAGAAACCAAATCAGTGGTACACTAGTTAACCTTTCCACATTCCCATCTTTAGAGACATTTGACATTGCAAGGAATTTGCTAAATGGGTCAATACCTAAAGATCTTCAATTTCCCTCTTCATTATAGTCTTTGGATATTCATTCCAACTCTTTGAAAGGTGCTTTCACTGAATACCATTTTGCTAATATGCCTAACTTAAAGGATTTGGTCCTATCTTTCAATGCATTGGCTTTGGACTTTAGCCATAATTGGGTTCCACCATTTCAATTGCAAGCTATACATGTGGGATCTTTTAAGTTGGGTCCTCATTTTCCACAATGGTTGCAAACTCAAAAAAGTTTCATTGAACTTGATATTTCCAATGCTGGAATTTTAGCTCCTATTCCAGAGTGGTTTTGGACATTGTTGACACCAAATCTATATTACTTGAATATTTCATGCAATAACTTTACTGGTACAATACCAAATGTTCCCTTGAAGGTTATTACTAGTGCTTTGATATTTGTGGCCTCCAATCATTTTAAGGGTGAAATTCCATAATTTCTACATAAAGCAAGTGTCCTTATTGCATCGAATAATAATTTTTCAGATGTTCACCATTTTTTATATTCAACAATGGCAACTAAGATGGAGGTGTTGGATCTTTCTAATAATAAACTATTTGGAGAGCTTCCTAATTGTTGGGGTCAGTTCAAATCATTAATCATTTTGAACTTAAGTGATAACAAATTTTCAGGAGAACTTCCTTCTTCTATCAATTCTTTAGAGAGCCTTGAAAGTCTGATATTGAGAAACAATAAGTTTACTGGACAGTTGCCTATTTCCTTGGGGAGTTGCTCATATTTAGCACTTCTAGATGTAGGGGAAAACAATTTCTTTGGACATATACCTTCATGGATTGGAATTCGTTTACATGAGTTAGAAATTTTATCACTTCGAAAAAATAACTTCTCTAGAAAGTTACCAATTCATCTTTGTTATCTATCAAGCCTTAATTTCTTAGATCTCTCATTGAACAATCTTTCAGGAAAGATACTTAGATGCTTCGGAAACTTTACGCAAATGGCTTTAAACAGTTATTCATATCCTTTTTTTATGTCATTAGTCATTGGTAGTTATGTGGAATATTCATTTGAGGCAAATGCGTTGCTGATATAGAAAGGTATGGAACGAACCTTTGAGGATTTTTTTTCTAAAAGGCATTGATCTTTCAAGCAATCAATTCATGGGAGGGATTCCAAACGAATTAGGAAGTTTAGTTCAAATAGTATCTCTGAATTTATCAAAAAATCAATTAGATGGAGAAATTCCTTCGGAGATTGGACGATTAACATCACTAGACTATCTTGATTTATCAAGAAATCATTTCTCTGGCCCAATTCCTTCGAGCCTTTCTCAGATTGATCGTCTCTCAGTGTTGGATTTGTCATATAACAACCTTTCTGAAAAAATTCCAATTGGCATGCAATTGCAAAGTTTCAATAGCTCAAGCTATGAAGGAAATCTTGACCTTTGTGGAAAACCACTTGAAAAAATATGCCCCGAGGAGGAGAAACATCAAGAGCCAACTAAGTTCAAAGAAGATGAGCATGAATCAATTCTCTCCAAGGAGTTCTATTGGAGCATGTCATTGGGATTTATTACAGGATTCTGGGGAATTTTTGGCTCGATTCTTTTTAATCGCTCGTGGAGACATGCTTACTTCAGATTTCTAAACAATTTGATAGACACTGTGGTTGTTCTAACCATGATAAATATGACTAGATGCAATCGGTGGCTCAAAGGCTACTCGGTAATCAATAGTATATGCATCTTTTCTCTTAATTTTCTATTTAAAGTTTATCTATATTTTTTAAAAAATACAACAATTATTTTTCCCCTTTCATTTTGCAGGAGAGACTAGGGTGAAGACCTCCAAGTTAAAGATGGGATGGGTTGCATGCTATGCTGGATATTTGATATGAGCCGAATATTAAAGCATGCATGTTGCTGAGCTTTTAAATACTATGTTCTATTTTATGCTATTTGATGTGTTATGTAATATTACAACTATTATTTATGTATTTGTTTTGTCATTTTGAGTACGAAGGTTTCTAAGAAACAACTTTTTTTCTTATCACAAATTAAACCAACGCATTGGAATGAATGCCAGCCATTTTGAAATCCATTAGATGCTCCCTCCCTCTACATAAGCGTGAGCGTGTGTGCGTGAAAAATGTCTTACTTTTAATTCTACGCTTTCTACAACATTAGAATGATATCATTATATCCATCTAGATGTTAGTGCTTGATCAAGCATCGTGGGGGAAGTAAACCAACTGAAACTAATGCAAAAGCAAAACCAATACGTGCCTTAGCTTTCACATCACGAATCCAAACGCTTAAAACGCCTTATTTATTGGACACTGCACAAATCATTGCCTGTTCAGCTAGCTTATTACAGGCCTCTCACGTCCCCCGATATGTACCTTGTCATTTCACAACAATAAAAAAAAATGAAAAGCAATCTAACTAACTTTCGTCTATCAAATAAATTCTATAAACTTCCCATCTTGAATTTTCAAAATTATATTATAGATGATCTTTTTCAAAATTCACACAGGTCTCTCTTATTATTAAGATCTTGTAGTCCAATGGCAGTGGGCCTGATCCAGCCCAATAGTAAAGAGTCATGCTCCATGATGTTGGCCAGTCAAAGTTTAATGAAAACTAAATAGACTTGGTAACTTTAGAGCTCGCAAGAGGAATTTTAAAAATTTAGGAATTAAAACAAAATAAGTGGTAGTTACGATAATAGAGCATCAAAGTTGAAGGAAACGTGGCAGGGAAAGTGTACTAGAGGGGGAATAGAATGAAAGGACGAAACTGCCCCAGGAAAGAATTTATAGCACTCTTCCACCCAACGCAAGCCATTGCATGTGAGAAGGTATTTTAGTCTTTTGATCCTCACATCCCTTCATTCCGTTTTCTTTTACACACGTGGGCTTTGGAATCCGGCAAAAGAAAAGTTAAAATTGAAATAGCAAGGGAATGAACAATAAAGAAAAAGGCAATGATAAATAAGGATATCATTAAAAAAATTTAATTAATATTAATTTGGGATCTCTTTATGATTAAAGTTTCAAAATTTAGTATTGTTTCTCTTGCATCTCAATACTGATTTTAAAAAAAAAAAAATTTCTCATGAGGTTCTTAGTACTTGTCACTCCTCCTAAGGAAAAACCCCACAATGAAGCCCTTCTACCTTCTTTAGCTTACATCACACACACACACACACACACATACACACACATGTTGTTTCCTTTGAGAGGGCATTTGATTATTACAAAGCAATTTTAAAACAAATAACAACTCAACCTTCAAAATAAACAATTACAGTCAGTCCTTTCAGTATGGTTGGGACAGATTTGAATTGGTTCTTCTACCAATTATTTGTTTTGTTGGACATAAACAATTGTAATCACTTCTTTCACTATGAAACAAATGAAAGATATGATTATTGATATTCTTCTAACAATTATTTGTCTGAGTCATTACATATATACGTATATATGTATATACATATCATGTCCAAGCTGCCTCTCTTTTTCTTCACATTACATTATCAAGCAGAGAGTTGATTACGTAATGCCGGCCCAGAATTTAGTTGCTCGGAAACATTCAAAGTTTCTATTAATTAATCATTTTTTATTAAAAAAAAATAAGCCTATCAATCCTCTTTCCCTCTTCGGTTGATTTTGGTTTTTTCTTTTGCATTTTTCTAGCTGTTTGGATTGGTAATTCTTTTTTTTAAAATAAAAATTTTATATATTAGAATGCTTAAAGAGAGGTGATTTTTCTCCAGAAACTTGAGGAAAAACTATTTTTTTTATCTAACAACTAAAATATAATGACTAATTAAGAGTTACCAAGTTGAGTGAAAATAGTCACTTTCTTAAACAAGCTATTTTATACCTTACTAAAATACGTTAAACCAATGTAAAATGATGTTTTTTTTTTGGACCAGGAATCTAAAATGTTGATTGTTTCTTGCTTGACTTATCAAAATCATTTCTTAAGCTTAACAAACCAACCTGGGTCTGGATCCTCTCCTCATCCCTTTCTCTCATTTTCTTCTCCTCATCCTCATCTCCACCCTTAAACAATAAAATGAGTTGTCCAGATTTATTTTTTTTATAAAGTAATTATCATATAAAAATAAAAATGAATTTAAA